AACTCAAAAGAGGGCAGAAACTGCCATGGGTAATACAGACCTTTAATCCCAGAGCCTGGGAGGCAGAGGCAGGTGGATCCTCTGTGAGTTCCTAGCAAGTCAGGGACTACATTCTTAAAAGAAAAGACAGGACAGATGGCCAAATAAAGGGTTTCTCTCATGTAAACTGAAGTCCAGTGGTGGCTGTATAACATTGTATACTTACTGCCAGTAGATTGAACGGCTAAAAGTGGTTTAAATGGTAAACTTTGTGCTCATGTTTTCATAATGAACCCTGTAAAGCAAAGGACTACAATAACTGCCAGAGGCACAGTTCCTGAACATTTAACACTAAAGGCTGACTATGTTGAAAGGCACCCCAAAATCTGGAACTCAGCCCAGAACACTTAACACTGAGATGTAGTCATAAAATGGTTGGATTTTAAAACTGAACCTTTTTTTCAGTTATGGACAAAAAAAAAAAAAAAAGACAAGTGACTTGGAAAAAATGTCAGGAAATCTATTTTAGGGGAAATAAAAGTTCTAGACATGCCTGAGCTGAATGTCTTAGGAAGATGGATGGATTCAGGTTGTTCTGATGATGAGGTCTTTTCTGGAAGGAACTGCATGAAGTTTATAGATACAGAAAGTCATAAATCAGTTTAAATTATTTTATTCTCTGCTAATTCATTACAAATACAATGTAATGTGGTTAGATCATATCCATTCCCGCTACCTTCTCCAACTCATCCCAGACTCCAATCCCCCTTCCAACAGCATAGGTCTTTCCCCCCCACTTTTCCCCACCAAGTCCTTTAACTACTGCCCATTATATACCTATGGGTATAGGTTACCATCCACTGGCGTATGGGCAGATTGCCCTGGGCCGTACCCCTGAGCAAGACTTCCTCTTCCTCTTCCAGCTTCTGTCTACTATCCTCACGCGCCCCTCCCCTTTCCATGCTGGATTGCTCATCTGCTGGAACTTGTGCATATCTCGTGGCCACAGCTGCTTGGAGTTCGTGACTGCAGTGGTGTCACCATGTCCCGAAGACAGCACTTCATAGCAGTCACCAGACCGCCAACCCTTCCTGCACTCTTCCCTGCCTCGTGAGGGAGGGCACTAAGGGGTGTGGTGCAGAGGTTCCGTTTAGGCCGGGCACAGTCATTCTCTGCACTTGACCAGTGTTTGTACTAACTTCTGTCCACTACGTAAAGAAGCAATGAGGGGTGAGAGTTGCACTGGTCTATGGGTATAAGGATAAGTATGTAGAAGGGAGTTTGATTTCCTTGAGCGAAATAATAGTGGTAGGGCTATGGCCTCCCCTGCCATAGGTTCTTGCCTAGTTTTAAAGTACCAGACACGAAGTGAGACTGAAGTCCAAGTAGAAAGTTGTTGGTTAACTGTAACATTTGTGCCACTATCGCACTAATGGACACACCTTCCAGGTCAGATGTTATAGCTCACAGGTTCCACAAGTGGGCAAGACTTGATGACTTCCCTCCCTCGGCAGCCTACATGGCAGCTTCTAGCACATGTAAGCTAGCCACCAGGAAAGAAGCTTGTAAGATTGGGGTTGATTGCCTGATGAACCAACTGCCATCAGATAATTGGAACTTCTAGGGCTAGAGAGATAGCCCAATCAGAAAATGCTTGCCTTGCAAGCAAGCACCAAGATAGGAATTCAGTCCCCATAACGCAAGTAAAAAAGCTGGATTTGGTGACTGAGACTTGTAATTCCACTTGTAGGTTCCTGGGGGCCCCCTTGCCAACAAACCTAGCCTACTCATACCCCAAAAGAGCAAAAACAAAAAGGGTGTGAAGATGAATTTTTTGAACTAAGAAAATATATCTTTTAAAATGAAACTAAACTCTGAGGTATATAAAGGGAAATAAGGCATACTGAACAAGTCATGAAGACAGCCATAAAAAAAAAAAAAACGAAAATGGGACTAGAAAGATACACAGGTGTGTATGCACACAGCAAAGAAACAGACAGATGTATATTATGCTAAGGACTGAACCCAGGGCCTTATATTTTAGGTATGTGTTCTCTTTCAAAGTCACATCATGAATATCTAGGAGTTGATTAAGATACAAGATGAAAGATTTAAGTTCCTGAGAAGTAAAACAATAGTAGGGCTGATATTTAAACTTCTGTCCATGGAAGCATCCTTTAAATAGAGACGACTCAAGTGTTCACACTAAAAAGGCCTTCAGACTAAAGGTGTCATTGGTACAGTGGTGACCTAGCATGACCAAAACTGTGTAGGCAATGCTGACCCTCTCCCCATTTTAAAAGCGATCCTGTGTGTTAGGAATGTTGACCCATAGTGATCAGCATCAAGTTATAGATTAGGGAAACTTTCAAGACAGTGAAGAAAATTTCCCTTGGGTTTCCAGCAAGCAAAGAGGCTAGCAACAGACTTCTCAATAGCAACACTGAGCAAAACAGCTGTGGTACAACCTGGCTAAAGTGTGAAATCATAAGCCAAGGTTTTTATAACCATGACTCACTGTCGGGGAAATCAGGATAAATCCCAATGTGTTGAAAAAAAGTATTTACATGGTGAAAAATGCAAGCAAAGACAGATGACAAAATGAGGTAAATGTTTGAAGCTAGTATAAATTAAAACCAGTTTCTGAAAATCTAGGCAACTCATGCAAAGATTTGAAGAGACCTCACAGGAAGAGGAGTCATATGATAGCTGGATAAAAGAGGTCCCAGCTTCAGTCACAAAGAAGTTCAAATTAAAGCTGTGCTGAAGAGCCAGGACTGTTGAGGGAGGGCTAGGGAGATGGCTTCATTGGTAATGTGCTTGCTCTGCGAGCGTTAGGACTTAGGTTTGGATCCCAGCCCACATAGAAGCCAGAAAGAGAAGCCTGTTTCTGCAGCTCCAACACTGGGAGGAGTGAGGGACTAGGAAGCAGGGTAGTAGAGATATGGTCCTTGGAGTTAACCAGCCAGCCTAGCCAGCCAGTGGGTGAACTCAGAATCTGTGAGCATTCCTATCTCAAAACTTAAGGCATGGAATGATAGAGGAAGACACTAAAACAAACTTCTTGCCTACATGTCCATGTGCCTACAAATGTTTATACACACACACACACACACACACACACACACAATTAAAACTGCTCTTAAGCATTTCTCAACAAAATCTAGGACCAGCTGGTGGGAAAATAGGCACATGGGTACATTGCTTGTAAATGTGGATATATTAACAAAGTATCTGGGGGAGGGGGGAATCCTGCTGAATCCAGGAAAATCACATGCATGTATCCTTTAGCACAGGCATTAAACTTTTAGCAATCTCTTCTAGAAACACTAAGAAAATACACTCTCACAGTTCTGGACTGTTGGTCACTGAGCACTGCTGCTACTAGACAGGGTGCCCTGGTCTACAGAACCAGTAAAATCTTTTTAAAAAGATTCATTCAAGTGACTTACATGTTAGCAGGTAGGTACTCCAAAAATGACTATCCATATGCTGGAGAGGCTAAGAACCCAGTAGGTGTTTGATCTATGGAACTGGATGCCTCTGTCCTAATTTGGTGCTCAAGACTTTGAAGATTTTTGGAGGATCTCTGGATTTCAGTTTTGGAAGGCTAAAGGAGCAGGAGTCTTAGCTCTGAAACGCGGTGGCGCTCGCAGCAGCAACAGCGACATCTATACTCACTAGCAAGAAACAAGGCAGTCTGGCCACAACACCTTTTTCTCTGGTCCCTATATTTGGGCCAGTTGTTGGAAGGTGCACTCATTCTGAGGGAGAGTTTTTTCCCCTCACCTAGTCCTTTTTGTTGTTGTTGTTGTTGTTGTTTTTGTTTTTTTCTAGACAGGGTTTCTCTGTGGTTTTGGAGCCTGTCCTGGAACTAGCTCTTGTAGACCAGGCTGGTCTCGAACTCACAGAGATCCGCCTGCCTCTGCCTCCCGAGTGCTGGGATTAAAGGCGTGCGCCACAACCGCCCGGCTTGAATTGTGTCTCTTAATTGACTCAGTATCTCACCAAATTAACATTTAATATTAACCATCACACTTAATTAAAAAATCAGAAACATTTCAAGTGCCCATTAATAGGAGATTGACTGGATATACTGTTGTGTAGTGCAGCCAAGCAATAAATAAAAGGACAGTTTCTAGGTTGGTGGTGCCCTTCCAAATCACCCTTTCTCCGGAGAAACAATCCATAGAATCCCCTAAAGACAGGAGAAGATGCCAACAATTAAAGAGAGCTTTCTCTTAAGATAACTTGCTTATATTTTGACCTCAGAATCACTACTATTTACACATTCATCCACAAAATTAAATAAAATGATTAATGAAAAAAAAACCCTGAAAAGTAAAAGAATTTTTACACTTTGGGAGCATCAACACACAATAAAAGGAACTTTCTAGTAGTTTTTGTGCATAGATTTGGACTATACAGTGGTGTGTGGTATGTTTGGCTGTAGGATTTGGGTGTGTTACTTTTTAGAGAGGTATGCATTACTAGGTGTATTTTGTGTTGCTGAATATTGATAATCATTCGAAGCAAGTTCATCAAGTCTATGACTTAAGAAAATTTACACTGGAAAGGCATTTTGTACAGACTGAATTAAGGCAAAATTACTTAGAAGAGCACCAAACATAATAGTTGTCCCCCGAGTCAGATGTCTTCTCACAACATTTGTAGCCCCTGCACTGGCAAGGTGGTGGTGGGCAAAGGGAGACCTTGTGGCCATCCTGGATTACAGACCAAGAGCCTGTTGAGACAGAGGGAAGGGTGGGGAAAAAGCTAGGGGGAGAGAGGACATGACCAATTACGCTGCAGTCTTATGTTATGCTGGCATTGGTTTCTTCATTTTTGTTGTGTCATTTGATCTACACATTGCAACCTAGGATTCTTTTTATGGGTCCAGAGAGTTTTCAAGTAGTTTGATTAGTTTATACAAATATTAAGTGGAAGATTGGAGATTAAACACAGGTCCATGAGACTCTCAGGCCTAAATTACTTTTATTTATTATCATACATTATTGCAGGGTAAACATCCACCTTGAAGAACAAAGAACATCAGGAGCTAAGGGTCAGTTTAAACCTGCTTGGACAATGAAGATGCAAACTCCAGATTGGTGGTTTATATATTCTTCATGCAAGAGTAGTGTACTAAAGGAGAGAAGTGTAAGTTTTCCTGATTTCTGCTAGGGGATTTTCTTAGCGAGGGTTACTATTGCTGTAATAAGACACCATGACCAACACAACATGGGAAAGAGAGGGTTTATGTGGCTTATTTGGTTTATTCATCATTGAAAGACGTTAGAACAGCACCTCAAGCGAGGCAGGACCTGATACGGAGGCCATGGATGAGCACTGCTTACTGGCTTGCTCTCATGGCTTGTTCAGTCCGCTGTCTTATAGAACCAGGACCACCAGCCCAGGGATGGCCCCACCCACAGTGGGCCCAGTTCTCCCCATCAGTCACTAATTTAGAAAATGCCCTCTAGCTAGGTCTTATGGAGACATTTTCTCAACTGAGGTTTTCTCCTTTCCACTGACCCTGTATGTCAAGTTGGCCTAAAACCAGCCAGCACAGTGATGCATACACAACTGTTATTGATGTAGAGATAAATATTACAACGTCCCAAATGGCTGAATAAAACGGAAGAAAAAAACTTGGTTGTCATGTAGATTCATCATGTATTGTGTCTACCACACTGGCCTGACAACCTGAGCTTGATCACTGGAATCCACAAAAACGTGGAGAGAACCAACTTCATACTTGTCCTCTGACCTTCATATACACACTCTGAACATAACCACACACACAGACACACACACACACACACACACACACACACACAAATATTAACGTTAAAAAATAAAAGAGCAAACAGTTTTAAAGCCCAGATGTTCTTTGTGACAAGTCAAAGTTGTGGGGGTTTTGTTTTTTTTTTTGTTTGTTTGTTTGTTGCTGTGAAATAATAGAGCTAAAGTTTACCAGGCTGTGATAAGAGGAAAATAGTCTTACATCAGCCAACGTTCTCCACATCCTTTTATAGAAGACGAGATGGGCTGAAATGTGTTATTGTTCAGGTGCTGGTCCCAGAGTTCCCCTCCCCACACTGACCCTTCATGGGAACTGGCTTCCTTGATGATAAAGCACTTTTTAAATTTAGCTACCTATTGGAGTAGTTAAGTAGGGATATTTTTGTTTTGTATTGATTTCTCTATATTTGATTATGCTAGAGAATGTAGTTTGTAATTATCTATAACTGAAAAGTATGGGAAACAGTATTAGGTTTGCTATAATCTTTTCTATATGGTTTGCAGAATTAACTCTGAGCGTTTTCTGGTTGTCAGAACTGTGCTGACCAGTGACTGGAAGCTGCACCATTGGAAGAGATTTGCAGAAGACACAAACTTTCTGAGGTGAGGTAATAACAGTCCAAGGTCTGGATTATCATTTCTCTTGACGATTTGTTAACTATATTGAACGTTAAGAATTTAGCAAGAATGAATATACTATTCCAAACTGAAATTTTACAAAACCATTTTAGAAATAATAGAATTCCATTTGCCGTAGTGTGCAGTCAAGAGTTGGACCTCCCTCCTCTACCAAACAAGCAAAATGCCCTTTAAAATAAATGTATGGGCATGTAAAAAAAATAAAAACCTTTGGAGGTAGAACCAAAATCCATGTATTTTATAATATAATCGGGTGCTGGAGTCACTGGATACTTTGAGGATATCCTCAGAGTGCCAACAGAAAGAGTGTTCTCTCACCAGCAAAGACTTTCCCAAGGGATGGCCTGAAATGAGTTTTCTTCCCTGATGTTGAGTTCAGGTGCTGGTGGAGATTACAGAGATCTGAGTTTCCCTCCCCAAGCTGGCCCTTCGCATTCCACTGACTTCCTTGATGATACGGCATTTTTTAAATTCAGCTACCTATTGGAGTAGTTGGGTAGGGGATTGCCACTGACAGTTAATAGAATAGTTAGTTTAACATTGTCACTGTCTCCTCCTCCATCCAGTTTTGGCTTGACTCATTTGTCTATCGCCTTCTCTTCACTCACAGTTACTTCCTTTATTCCACATGACCCTTGATCATTTCCCTTCTACTCTAACACCAGAATGGTGTTTTCTGTTGGCATAAATCTTCTGTACATGGTGGCTGGGTCCTAGAGAAAAACATCTTGTGTCCTGCAGTAAAGTAGGAATGATGGTCAGGCCATCTGCTGAGGCTTTAGGCCTATGTGTAGGTAAGAACTCTGCTAATAAGCCATGAGCTTTTACTTTCTTGAACTTTAGAGCTTCGATTTATAATAATTTCACAGTTCTCCAGCTCTACAAATGGAGATGTTTAATTAAAACTGAATATAGTTCTGTAATACTCTTAGATACTAGGTAGAAACAATCACAAATTCTCTGTGGATTGACATATGCGGCCATAAGATAATTACAGTTAAGACTCTAACACAGAATGTTAGGAGAAAATCACAGAATGTAAGGGCGAAAATCAAGGTACTATGATCAGGACTCAGCAGAAACAACAAAAAACTAGCATCTTTAAGATTTCAGCCGTTAGAAATATCCAGTACTTAAGTATTTTTATGTAGCATGAATTCTAATTGGTCTTACTAATAAAAACCTGGAATCAGATATTAGAGGGTGAAAGCTGAAAGATCAGAGAAGCAGAGCAGCCAGCCTCTAGTTCTAACCTCTACAAACTCCTCAGACCAAAGGGGATATTGTGTTTCTACAAGTCCTCAGACTGAATGCTGTTTCTACAAAACCTCAGATTGAATGCTGTGAGCTCCTTTCTCCTCCTGCCTTATATTCCTCTCTTTGCCCAGCCATATCCCTTCCTACCTCTACCTAGTGCTGGGATGTTTTACTCACAAGTACTCTGGTTAAAGGTATGAGCCACCACTGCCAGGCACTGATTCTCTTTTAGACTGGACCAATTTTGTGTAGCCCAGGGTGGCCTTGAACTCACAGAGACCTGTCTGCCTGTGCAGAGTGCTGGGATTAAAGGTGTGTGCCACCACTGCCTGACCGCTATGGTGAACTAATGACTAGCTCTGCACTCTGATCTTCAGGCAAGCTTTATTTGTTAGTGAATCTGCTATGGCCTTGATCTTACACTTTCCAGCCTTCAGAACCAGGGTGGAAATATCTGTATTCCACTGTAGCAGCTTAAGCAGATCAAGACAGATGCTGTCAGAACAAAAGAGTTTATTTTATTTTATGTATATGGTTGTTTTGTTTACATGTATATCTGTGCACCACATGCATGCAATGCATGCAGGGACCAGAAGAGGGTTTCCCAAAAACGAATTGCAGAGCTGCCATGTGGGTGCTACAAATTGAAATGTGTCCTCTGGAAGAGCAGTCAGTGTTCTTAGCCATGGAACCATCTCTCCTGCCTCAGAACAAATAGCTTTTGAAGTAGATACAGTTTTGAGTAACTGATGATTATAGTGGGTTTTGCAGATCCACTTGAATGAAAGCATGAAGTCCCAGTTTTAAAGAAACTGTAGACTCATGTCCTTTGATGAGGTCGCCAATTAGGACTCAAAGGAAACTCAAGGGAATCTAATTAAAACCGAGGAAAGAGGATCATTATAGCCCTGTCACCATAGTTATGAACAAACTAGAAAAGGTATGTTAGGAACTGGATGATGTGGATGAGCAAATTACCGCCCACAGAGTTGAAGGTGTTGCCTAATTTATTCTTGCTCCTTACAGTAAAATGTGAGAGAAGTATGTAAAGAAAGGTCTACTGGGTAGGGTGGTGAATGCCTGTAACTCAGCACTTAGAAGGTGGAGGCAAAAAATTGCTGCAAGTTCAAGATCAGCCTGGCCCATCAGTGAGTACTAGGATAGCCAGGACTACATTTGTTAGAATCATACTAAAAAAACAAGCAAAAGGATCAGTAAACATGAAGAATATCACTCAGCAAATGGCATAAAATTTAAGAAGTAGCTCCTTTCATGGTTGGAAATTTAGCTTAATAGTAGAGTGCTTTCCCAGCATGGCTGTTTCTGGTTTCCATATCCAACAGAGCTGTGGTAGGGAGAAGCTGGTTCCAGTCCAAGGTGCTGTCAGGAAAATAAGTTCTGAGGATATGCTGAGAGATCTGTCGTAAAATCCTTTGTTGATAAGAAAGGTACTGCCCCAGAGGGCTTTCCAGTCAGATCTATTTTCAGATTCCCTTGAGTTTCTTTCAAGCCCTACTACCTTAATGGCTAATAGTGTTACTGGCGAATTCATAAATAATAGGTCTTCTAAGAATCTTAAGGGAATGATCCTCATCTCTGCTATTTCATCAGAATGTCAAGATTAATGCTGGAAAAAAAAGTGAGACTCCTAAGAGACCTGCAAAGTTTTAAGAAAACTATGTTTTGAAGATTCATGGCACCTTGAATTTAAGGGCTGCACAGAGTACAAAATGCAAAGATACCTCTCCTCCCAGACTTACATAAGTAGGAAGAGCCAGTAAGGCGGTTCAACATGTGCTAACATTCATGGAAAAGAATGACTCAAAGAGTTGAGTCATGAAGATGGTCACCTTATCTATGAGGAACTATTTTTGGTAGAGTCTTAATAAGGAGCTTACAGCTGTTACCTGATGTTGGATTTCCCGGCTGTATGCTGTGAATATGTTTTATTGCCATTGGTTAATGAATAAAACTGCTTTGGCCTATAGCAGGAAAGAATATAGCCAGGAGAGAGAGAGAGAGAGAGAGAGAGAGAGAGAGAGAGAGAGAGAGAGAGAGAGAGAGGTCAAAGAGATGTTAGCAGAGAGAGAGTTAAGTCAAAGAGATGTCATGTAGCTGCTGAAGGAGAAGGACACACTGGAACCTTACAAACCTTACTGGTAGGTCACAACTTCGTGGTGATACACAGATTGATAGAAATGGATTAATTTAAGATGTAAGAGCTAGCTGCTAGAGTCATTGACCAAGCAATGTTGGAATTGATATAGTTTCTGTGTGTTTATTCAGGTCTGGGCAGCCGGGAAACAAACGAGCAGTCACCTACTTCAGTTGCCCGCCTACTTCAGTTTCATTTCTTTTTTTGTGTTTTTTATTAGCTTCTGAGAATTTTGTGCAGTATTTAAAAAATTGTACAATCTTCTTGCAGTAGATGTAGACTATTACAGAGACCCACAACTGGTCAGAATGTAGAGAATAAGTGATTGTGGGGTCCCTAACTCACAACCTAAGCAGGCCGCAACTGTAAGGTTGCTAAGACTCCATTCTGCCTCCACCAGAAATAGTTCCCAATAGAACTGTTCTTAGACAAAATGTGAGAGTGAGAGCTACATTATTTATGGGTGTAAAGGTATTTAGAATACAGTTAGGAATTATATTGATTTAGGAACATGGCAGTTGAAGATTCATCTCTAAGGTCTATGACCGCTCCAGCCATAGCTCTTTGGCTAGGTTTGCAGTATCGGACGTAAATTCCCTTCTGCTGAGTAGGCTCTAAATCCAATTAGACAGCTGCTTGTTACCCCCAAGATAAAAGCGCCACTATTGCACCATTGTGGATAACTTACTGTTCTAAGCATTGTTGTGGTTCATAGGCTTTACAGCTGAGTAGAGCTGCTCATGGCTTCTCTCTCTGCCAGCTTACATAACACCCTCTGAAACTGTGAGAGCCAGACATCAGAGAAGAGGTGTCTAGATCAGTTGTGGCTCAATTCCTTGAAGTCCTGTATCTCTAGTGTGTGATATCTTCAGTATTAGAGTTTTTCCTTCAAGTTCTGGGTAGTAACCAAGGGCAATATTGTTTTGGGAGTCTCTTGACTTCCCTGATCAGCAATTTGAAGTAGTTTCTAATACCTAAATCCAGGGCTTTTGTTAATCTATGGCTCTTGAGGGTCAGCACAATGTCACATGATTTTCTTACTCATGGATCCTAGCTCCAAATCTTTAAGAAAATGAGTATATGACCTGGAATAGCCACAGAAACCAGGGAAATAAAAAGGAACCACAGTGGGGTGGGGTTGGAGGTCAGAGGAAGGAGCTGTAGAGACAGAGATAGCAGGAAAGGGTACTATGAAGAGAGAAATGGGAAAGGGAGCTTTGTAAGGATTGAGAGGAAGGAGGAAAAATAAAGAATACCAGGGTTGATTGAAAAAATCATGGGGACCCGGGCGGTGGTGGCACACGCCTTTAATCCCAGCACTCGGGAGGCAGAGACAGGCGGATCTTTGTGAGTTCGAGGCCAGCCTGGTCTACAAGAGCTAGTTCCAGGACAGGCTCCAAAGCTACAGAGAAACCCTGTCTCAAAAAAATAAAATAAAATAAAAAAATAAAAAAAATTGCCACATGTAGAAATAAAATCATAAAAAAAAGAAAAGAAAAAAATCATGGGGAACTATATTATTTTATACTTGAAAATGATTGTATAGGGGCCG